CCTACCTTTAAGAATCGAGCCAATGGGATGCGAGTGGACATCGCCGAGGTAGGCGAACAGCGTAAAGATCTGATTCAGCCTGTGGTAATGTAACGCTTTATAGGCACTTCAAGAGATGGGCCCATCTTTCTTCCGCCTACCAGGAGGAAATAACCTTGAAGGTCAGACCACGGCCACTAGGTGGCAATGGAATGCAACAGTAATTATCATCTTCTCGCTTCTTTCTGATGCATTGACATGTTCTCCAAAAATGTAGGTAGGCACTTTGCTAAGGACTAGCATGGATTACGTAATTCCGGGTATTTATCCAAATCCACCCTATTTGCCGGATGTGGATGGATGTGGATAAAAACGCTCGGGTACCCGCGGATTTTGTGGATAAACTGCCTTAAAGTTCTCTGTAGCCGTTGTACGCATCCCCTATCGCTACGTGAATTTATTGGCATATTATCAGAGGTCCTTAAGTCATATATACTAATTCTTATGCACACTGGATGCGGACTGAGAGTCCTAGACGCTGAATATCTTTTGCAGGCAGCCGAAAACCTGGTTTGATGGCCGTTGAACAGGACGGCGTCCCTGAGTAAATGATGATACTAATGTGTGACATCATGTGTACGAATTGTTAACCAAATAACCGATTTGTTATTCTTAGGCCGGGAATTAATTTATTCCCTACGTCTCGAGGTGACGATTTTTGGGATATTTTTCAGGTGGAATATAAAGCTACAAGGCATCTGTACTCCATCGGACAGTAATCTTGCGAATTTATCGAATTGGATCCAAGTGGATGAATCCAATCCGTATAGATTTTATCCATATCCGATAAAATTCCAGGTTTACCCACGATCTGGATTTGGATAAGGCACGGTCACATCCATGCCAGTCCTTACACTTTGCTAAGCAGGCCAGGTATTCTAAAAGTATTAAGCTTTCCATAAGTTCACTAACGCATAAATTTCAGGCAGGACGGGTGACTGGGGATACGCGAATACGGAGTATAATCTACCCTTCCAGTGCGAGAAGGTACCCGACTAATTTTATTATTAAAGTGGTCTTGGCCTATTGGAATACCTGAACTGGTGCGAAGACCTTGGCATGCAAGCCATTATGGCTGTTTGGTCAGGTACATCCTTTATAATTGCAAAAACTGTTCTTCTGCTGATATATTTATTTGCAGGATACGCCCTCGGTGGAACCAGCATTGCCGAGGCTCAACTTCAACCCTATATACAGCAAGCAATTGACCAGGCAAGTTCTCGGTTTCGTGCATTACATACAAATTGCCGCCTCATTACTCGTGATTGTCAGATCAATTTTGTCGTCGGCGATCCCTCACAGAGCTCGGCGGGTTGGCACTTTTTTCTCAAGCATACATCGAAAATGGTTTTAACAATTTATTAGCGGCTCTTCGAGCTTCACTCGGTCATCCTCTGCCCTTCACGTTAAATTATGTTGAAGTAGGAAATGAGGTCTGTTTGTCTGCTGAATTTGACTGCTGGTTGGTCTAATGCCGGTTGATTGGCTGGGAATTATTACTAGGATTTCTTCTCTTCGACGTGGGTGCATCTTCTGATACGTATGACGTCGAAATTGGCTCAAACATTTTATGCTGCAGATATACGTATAGATGGCACGACTTTGTGACAGCGCTCAAAGCACAGTTCCCCAACATTCGCAAGTGGCGTTTCCAAGTATCTCAAAAGATCTGTTCCCTAATTCATTAAAACAGACTTCATTGCGACCACCGACACGTTCAATCCCATCCTTTCACCGAATCCAACAGAATATGATGTCCATGTATATCAAACTCCCAGTGAGTGAGCGTTCTTCGTTACACATGATACATATTGAAGTCCCTTCTAGCATGGTTCGCTCAGAATTCATTCTTTTATGATGGTTTTCAGGTAAGCTGAGGGTGCAGCTCTTTCTGTCCTTTCCTTTGTCTCATTCTCCGGTCTACAGCGCAACGGGACGAAATATTTTGAGGTATACTCCATATTTTCTGCGATGTACCGTCGTTCATTTAATTGCCGTCCCCAGGGCGAGTATGCAGCAATTTCGACCAATGCAAGCAATCTTTTTGGATCACCTGCCGACGGCCGTTTGACCTTCCCCACCATGCAAAGTAAGGTTATTTCATAACTTGCGGCTACCTCAAAACGTTAAAATCATACTTAGGCGCTGCTGGAGAAGCCGCGTTTATGACAGGATTGGAGAGAAACAGCGATATTGTGTAATTATATATTCCTTCCTATTATGGCCCTACAGAGACGTTGATCCCTCCTTTCTAGATTCGCAGCTTCTTACGCGCCGCTTCTCGGGGTAAGTATAGTCATATAAATTACCCTCACCTTCTAACTGACATAATACGCTTCCAGCATGTTACAAACAATCAATGGGTTGGTGGCCAAATTTTACTCCTTTTGTTTCTCGAGATGGATTGATAATGATCTTTACAGACTCCTAATTTGCTTGCCTTTGAGTACGTTCCTTCTTCAGAACATCTTCCAACAAAAGGAATTCATAATCATATGCAGCGCTGGCGCGGTCTATCGATCAACAAGCTTCTATGTTCAGAAGGTAAATTGTCTAATAAGTTCGAAGCAGCGCACAATATCTCATGAGCGCCCAGTTATTCAGCCTTAACCGCGGCGATTTTTACCTTCCCAGTACTTTACCCATTAAAACGGGTACTCTCTTCTGGAGTGTAGTCCAGAAGACGTCAAGCAACCAGGTCATCATCAAGGTACCGAGCCATGTTTATCTCTCTTGCATGAGTTTTCTTCCACTAATAAATTCTCCAGATTTCGAACACTGCAGCATCTGCAGCACCCTTGACATTTGTCTTACCGTTTGGCACCGTCTCTTCTACTGGAACCGCACAAGTCTTGACAGGAACTGGCACGGCAAGTAACACGCCTACTAACCCGAACCTAATCGTTCCCGTCACCAGCACCATCACTACCGGGAAGACGTTCAACTACAACGCACCGGCAGTCAGTGTCAGTGTTATCACTTTGACTGCATCGTGATGCAACCTACAAGTTCAATCTCTTTTGTAATTCTGTAATTACATTGTCAAAGCACGTTTCGAGAGATGCCAAGTATTCCTCGGAGTTGTGGTCAAACATGTTGCCTGCTGGAACGTCGAGCTGCGACAACAATCAATACCCTGCTCATACTACACTTACATAGATAAATGCGCACCGTGAAAGAGGGTCCGTATAAAGGAAATCCTGCGTGGTCAGGAATCTCAGTTTCCAGACTCATAGGGTCATTAAGCTGCAAAACATGAGGGTTCTTTGCATAAAATAGACGAAACGATGTTAGAACTAACCGCAATTGAGGTAAGATATGCCCATGCTCTTGCGGCATTGGGTGAATTATATCCGCCTAGACAATATCAGCTTGACCAGAGTTACTTACTGGCATTTCGTTCTTACCACCTCCGAGGAGAAGCTTCTTGCCGGACCACTCGGTTACAACCTTCTGCACACACCAGCCCATTGAGCCTTCGGCCTCGCCTAATGACCAATTAAAAGTCGCGCAAGGATCGCCAGCAAGAGCATCGACGCCGCATTGCATCACAATGAAATCCGGCCTGAATGTATTTTTGACTTTCTCGACAACGCGCCATATTCTGGCGTATGTCGCATTGGATGCACCGAGCTTCAAGGGCAGGGACAGAGTAAAAGGATCACAGTCCGGGGCGGAGATGTCGGGGATTTTGGCGCGTTCGGAAGCGGGAAAAAATCCAGGAGATGAGTGATGGATACTCAAAGTCTGGAAAGACTGGTAAGAGATCAAGTTTACCAGAGTGTTGATCATGACTCTTACCAATACTTGTGAGGCTGACGAAGATGTCGGTGAGTAGAATGCCTCAGAAACCGCATCTGAAAAGTGTAGGTCTAAATCAAGATACATAATGCGCGGTTTATGAGCCGTTGGTGGCATGCTGTTCAAGGAATTCGGATTTGGACTCGGGTGTGTTGGTCTCTTAAGCGCCAAAATCGCCAATATACAATCAGCAACGTAACAGAACCCCGACGCTTGGGATTTTCGAGCATGATGTCTAAGTTTCGCAAGCTAAGAAAGAACGTTCTGGATGAAGATAATAGTATGAAATACCTTCCACCATCCCAGCATATAGCAATATCGGTTAAGTTGTTCTGCAAGGCTCTTGCAGCTGTGAGAGTGGCACCGCCAACCATCTGTATATATTCCGCGAGGCCCGCGAAGCGCGGGCAGTCCTATAGCAGACGATTGAAGAAGAAAGGGAGGCTGAAAAGAAAGGCAGACTTACATCTTCGAGTCCAAATTCTGCGTTGACTGTACTCCCGTTTTCGAGACGGTCTTCCCCGTCCACAGCGGCGCTTGAATCGAGGACAACATCAAGGTAATCCCGAGTGTGATAAACAGCAAGGTCTTTGTAACTTGCTTTGATTTGCGTAACAACTTGAAGACGTCTCCTTGCAGAGGCATTCAAGTTGGAGTTCATAACACCCAGGGCGCTGACCAACGAGTGTACAACCATTGAACGCTTTTTATTCGATGGCAACAGGGAGGAAATCTTGGAAGAGGGATGCTGCCATTAGCACGGTGAAGATAAATAGATTGAGGTGAATTTCATCAGTACCTGGGCTAGGTCTTGAGAACCTATATACACTACAGGTTTTTGGGATTGTATTGCATTCATATCGTTTGACATTTGACGCAATTCCCCTTTAAGGACGAATTCAAGTGTTGCTCTGCAGTATCAGAGGTTGCAGAGATGCGCCTGGGTCCGAAATCCTGTCGGTTTTGAAAATAGGAAGTTCTTCGGCGTCAGACGGTTGCCATATACTTATCTTCTGGAAGAGCGAAAAAGCAAACTTGCCAGCGTTATATCTACTTTGGCACACTAGGCGGTGCGTGTTGACATGACGGTTACAGACTTACAGTACAAGCTCCTGGGTCTAGGCAGGGTCCTCAACCTAAGGCATTAAAAATAAAAAGACTGGACACATTGGGAATTGAACCCAACACCTCTCGCAGACAAGATCGTACTGCGATGCTAAGCGAGCGTGATAACCAACTACACCATGTGCCCTTGTCTTCGGGATATTCCAATGTTCTAAACAATGTTGAATTCTACAAGCACGCAGATAAAGTATGGAAGCTACAGTGCCCATCACCACCTCTCCAACACCTCCTGTTTGGTGCCGAGAAATTTTTTGTAGAATTTTTCTGATTTTCTTAGGAAGGAAACCCATGAAAAGAATGCGATTTACGCGTTTTCTCATTTTTTCCCACGGTGTTTCACTTTTTCGGGGTTGGGAAAAAAAATAAAGGGCTCCAATTTTATATTATTTGAGGGAGAGAAGATGAAGAAAGGCAGGAAACAATGTTTATGAGGTTTTCGGCCAAAAATCCCCTTTTCCTGCCTGATCCGGCGGCTCTGTAGGGTTGGGTGGTAGCTTTGGGTAAGTGTGACCGTGACCGTAACATACCTTATATAGTAGGTTGTGACAGAGGGTTAGGGTTTGTTTCACTTTTCTAAGGCCGGAATTTTGAAAACTTGTCCGATCGACTTGAGATTCACACCAATGATTGCCCTCATGAATCTAAGCACATTCCCAGTGTTTTTGACAAATTTGGGGTATCCGGGAAAATGTAGTTATCAAATGTGTGTTTTTGTTTGTTCCCTGCCAAACCAGGTGATGCGAGGTGGTGATGGGCACTGTACTGAAATCGAACGGCAAAACTAGGTTCGGAGCAAGCCGGTTGCTCCGGTCGTGAGCGCAAGCAGCGGCTCCTTCGCAGAAGGGGCTTGCGTCAAAGTCCATCAAAAAGATGGGTTTGCTTAATGCCCTCGCTCTCATTCAAAAACCAATGCACAAACATAATTCAAAGTATATCCTGTACTGAAAATATATTATAATATATCTATTCCTTCAAAACATAAGATAGATACATAGAATTAACATACAGTAGAGAGCATGATGAGTGGACAAAACACACAAATTTATGAGTCTTGGCCTATCATCATAGGTTTTATACCGAATTTTCTGGGGGTTGGGCATAGCTCCCTAGTTATATGTGTTGCTAGGTCTAGATACTTATTTTGAACATAAGATACTTTTTGAAATCGATTTCCATTCACCAACTTGCTCGCTGTGATTGCCTGTGTCACACATGTCACAAACGCGCGTTCAGGCGTACGCACAGCGCACCATGCTGCAATCTCATGGCAAGGCGAATAAAGCATTCAAAGAACGAATGTAAGTAGAGGTACATTGGGGTAATCGGAACTCATATAAATGTTGAGGATGCTAGCAGTATTTCTTTATCAATCTCGTTTGCGATAACAGGCACTCGTGAGGATCTTGCTTTGAGGGAAAGATCACGTGACTTACTAACGAAACGATACTGCTCTTATATCGAATATTATAGCCTCAATAAGTGTCCTGCAGACACCAAGACTTGGAAACAACATTACCTATAGTGTAAAAAGCATGGGCCAAAACTATCCAGTTGCAGCTTACGATTTACTTTCTCTAGGAGGCTGGAAAGGAAATGGGGTCAAGTCACCTACTTAGACAGCGCACAGTTCAATAATAAAGTTGTTTTAAAAAATTGTAAGTAGTACATTGTTTGTATCTTATGTTCTACTGACGAACGCGTGCAAAATTGGGTAAGTGCGTGTTGAAATAACCTCAAGCGTCGGGAGCAACCAAACCCCCTCAATCGACGGACATTGATGCAAGCCCCTTGTCAGGTTTTGCTGAAAGCAACTATATACAAATAAACACCGGAAGCTGACAAGGAGTTGTTGACTTTCTGCCCTGAACTTTAAAATCTATTTGGGATATGGAATTCAAGAAAGTCCGCCCCGCCTTTGTTTACTTTGGACTCAACCGAAAATAGGCTGAGCGGCGGGCAACCGTTCTGGGTCATCGGGCTGCAAATGCTCAAAGCCCAGATCCCTGCTGGCTCACATGCACAGGAGCTGCAGGCCCAACGACGGGATGACACACGCATAATACTTAGAAGATAATTTAAGTAATATTTCTATAGAGAAAAGTACATGGCGAGGTAAGAAATGGACGGTTACTACTAAGTATGCAATGTACATAGGTCGCTCTGGCTACATAGTTGACATTGAGAAGGGGTATTGTTCGTGATATACCTGGTGGCCCTCCCACTGCCTGGATTCCCCTTCGTGTTCCTCCACCGCCCATGCTCCTGCGGTGCTTGCGAGTGTTTGTGTTTGTGGGTGGGTTGTAAGCATGCACAGGCGGTCCAGGGGTTCCACGGGTGTTCGTGGGCGTTTGAGGTGTTCGCGAGTGGTTTTCGGTTGCTCGCGAGCCTTCGTGGGTGGCGATAGACATCCGCAGACGGTCGAGAGGGGTGTTTATGCCTAGCCGCACGTAACCGAGGGTGCTCGGGGCTGTCAGAGGCTCTCAGAGCGTGTTTCATGGGTGGTCGATGGAGATCATGGGCGGTTGGTCAGGGTTGTACGCCGGTGGTCAGCATTTTTGCACTCACACTTGCACCTTCTTCCCACTCCGTTTTCGTGCTCTTGTAGCTCAAGTCCGTTCGGGCTCTCGTGCACCATCGAGACCGCCTCCCTGAAGTCAAAGAAGAACGACTTGGGCAAGATGCCCGCCATGGCCATGGTGCAAGTCCAGGGCTACCACTAATGAAGGCGCAGATTCAGTTCACGCCAGCAGGTCGCAAGGGGGGTTTCTGGAGGTGAGTTCGGCGGGGATGATGGTGAGTGAGCAAAGCAGGAGTTATTCTTAGCACGTACCCATTTCGGATAATGAGCCAAAGTAAACAAAGGCGGGGGCGGACTCACTTTTGACTTTCCGCCCTGAACTTTAAAATCTATTTGGGATATGGAATTCTAGAAAGTCCGCCCCCGCCTTTGTTTACTTTGGCTCATTGTCCGAAATGGGTACGTGCTAAGAATAACTCCTGCTTTGCTCACTCACCATCATCCCCGCCGAACTCACCTCCAGAAACCCCCCTTGCGACCTGCTGGCGTGAACTGAATCTGCGCCTTCATTAGTGGTAGCCCTGGACTTGCACCATGGCCATGGCGGGCATCTTGCCCAAGTCGTTCTTCTTTGACTTCAGGGAGGCGGTCTCGATGGTGCACGAGAGCCCGAACGGACTTGAGCTACAAGAGCACGAAAACGGAGTGGGAAGAAGGTGCAAGTGTGAGTGCAAAAATGCTGACCACCGGCGTACAACCCTGACCAACCGCCCATGATCTCCATCGACCACCCATGAAACACGCTCTGAGAGCCTCTGACAGCCCCGAGCACCCTCGGTTACGTGCGGCTAGGCATAAACACCCCTCTCGACCGTCTGCGGATGTCTATCGCCACCCACGAAGGCTCGCGAGCAACCGAAAACCACTCGCGAACACCTCAAACGCCCACGAACACCCGTGGAACCCCTGGACCGCCTGTGCATGCTTACAACCCACCCACAAACACAAACACTCGCAAGCACCGCAGGAGCATGGGCGGTGGAGGAACACGAAGGGGAATCCAGGCAGTGGGAGGGCCACCAGGTATATCACGAACAATACCCCTTCTCAATGTCAACTATGTAGCCAGAGCGACCTATGTACATTGCATACTTAGTAGTAACCGTCCATTTCTTACCTCGCCATGTACTTTTCTCTATAGAAATATTACTTAAATTATCTTCTAAGTATTATGCGTGTGTCATCCCGTCGTTGGGCCTGCAGCTCCTGTGCATGTGAGCCAGCAGGGATCTGGGCTTTGAGCATTTGCAGCCCGATGACCCAGAACGGTTGCCCGCCGCTCAGCCTATTTTCGGTTGAGTCCAAAGTAAACAAAGGCGGGGCGGACTTTCTTGAATTCCATATCCCAAATAGATTTTAAAGTTCAGGGCAGAAAGTCAACAACTGGGCGGACTTTCTAGAATTCCATATCCCAAATAGATTTTAAAGTTCAGGGCGGAAAGTCAAAAGTGCTGACAAGGGGCTTGATCCGAACCTACGGCAAAACAAACTTATTGGACACATTGGGAATTGAACCCAACACCTCTCGCAGACCAGATCATAATGCGAAGCGAGCGTGATAACCAACTACACCATATGCCCAGATGTTTACTCGTTTCTCTTGTCGGCCTCGGCCGGCTGACTCGTCCGAACCTCCGAATTGAAGGAATCTGGACAGAAGACCAGCACAAACGAAACACCAAAAAAAATCGGAAGCATTGGAAACACCTCGTTCAAATCTCGTTGAGAGAATTAGGGGGATCCTTCCAATATTTGGATAGTGTAAGGTGATAATGCTCCTCGGTATTAAATGTACAGTATTATAATACTACACTACCCAATAAATTACTATGGTCCCTGCAAAATGTCATCAACATCAACTACGTGATTTCGAGGCCGGAAATGATAACCAACCAAGCATAGAGAATAAAACATCCCGCGAAATTAGAATGAATGTCCGCAGCAAGTTACTAAGAAAAAGGAAGAAAATGAATATCAGGAATATAAGTCCGAAGTCGTTATCATGAAAGTCCGTCCCAAGCATTAGTCTGTTTCACATTTCGCCGATAGGCCGATGCTCCTGCGAGCAAATCCAACCATCAAGTCCACGGATTTTACGTATCTTGTAAAGTAATCGCCGAACGTAAGACCCCAGAGGAATCCCAAGTACGATGCGCCTCCGCCCTACAAAAGAGACGAATAAGCAACAGTGCATAACAACGCAAAATAAGCATTTTGCGCACCCGTCCATTGCTAATTGCCAGAATTTCTGTACTTTTCGTGTACAACTTCTTCGGGGCTTTGCCTTCGAGATAACTCATGACGTTGGCGATGATCACAGGTGCATGGCCTATCGAGATTTTGGTGAGCTGCTTGGCTTCGGGCCAGTCGATGATGTCTCCAAGCGCGAAAATGTTGGGGTGGGAGACAACTTGGAGCGTAGCCATCACTTTGACATAACCGCGGTCTGTAAGGACGAGAGGACGGAGGAATTTAAGGAGCGATGTGTTGGGGCGGCCGCCACGAGCAAAGATCTTTGGGAGCAAGGTTGCGTTATCAGTCAGAAGAAT